CTTGCATATCCACCATCATGGGATGAGAATGCTATGGCCGGCAAACAGTGGTATTATGGATTTATGCAACGGCATAAAAACCTTTCTCTACGAACACCCGAACAGACCAGTCTTAATCGGATCAAATAAATTCTTCGACAATTTGGATAAAGCACTTAAGGAGAATCATTTTCCACCACACAATATTTGGAACATAGACGAGACTGGGTTCTCTACAGTCCCGACCAAAGTCGGCAAAGTCATTTCTGTAAAAGGAATGAAACGAGTTGGCCAAACCGTATCACAAGAACGAGGCACTATGATAACGATGGCTTTGGCTGTCAGTGCCTCGGGCAACTCAATGCCACCATTCTTTTTATTTCCAAAAATACATATGCAAGCAGTTTATTTGGAACATGCTACGCTTGGAGCAGTGGGCTTCGCAAACGATTCGGGGTGGATGCAACAAAGCGAATTTGTGAAATTCATGCATTTCATTAGGCACACCAAGCCATCGAAAAGTGTTCCAGTGCTGCTGCTACTTGATAATCATTCTTCTCATTTGTCGATCGAAGCACTGGATTTTGCTGCTGAAAACGGCGTGAGTATGCTTTCATTCCCACCACACTGCAGCCACCGCTTGCAGCCACTTGACGTTTCTGTTTATGGCCCGATAAAAACATTTTACAAACAACAGTGCTCTGCCTGGCAGCGAAACAACGCTGGAAAAGTGTTGGAACTAAGACACATTACCGAACTAGTAAAATTCACTTTGGAGGCGGCTCTGTCTCATGGAAACATCAAAGCCGGCTTCAAAATAACCGGTATCAGCCCATTCAATCCAAATGTTTTCAAGGAATACAATTTCATTCAGGCTGCGGCGTCTTCGGTAGAGAACGAATACGGCGAAAAAAAACAACGCCGCATTTACTTGTCTGGTCCAGAAGTCGGTGCAAACAAGACAGTTTCAATTTCGAAAGAATTATCAGCATCAACAGACAACATTTCCAATTTATCTGTAATGTTAGCTGTAATTGGACCACTTCAGGCAGGATCACCAAAGAGAAAATCCAACCGCGGCCGTAAACCAATGAGCACCGCGATTTTGAATTCGCCAGAAAACATTGCGGTTTTAAAAGAGCGGAAGAAAAGCCGAGAAGAATCAAAAGCAAAAAGAACAGCCAGTGCCGAAAAGAAGAAAGCAGAACTATTAACAACAAAGAGAGCAACCAGTGCCGAAAAGAAAAAAGCAGAACAACAACAAAGAGAGCAGCCAGTGCTTATTGTCTTATTGATGAGTTTGTTGGCTCCTGGCTCCAGTCCGGATCCAATACGGCCACGTCTAACCAATAGTCGTGCGGAGGGGAGATGCAGCAAATGGCGCAGAAACGCCAAATATCGAAGCGGGAAATTTAAATGTGGAGGTTGGAGGATTTGATGAGAGCAAGAGTTAAACGACAGTTTTGCGGTAGGATGTCTCATAATGTTGTGTAAGTCGTTAGGGGAGGTAGGATATTGATGTTTAATATAATTTAATAGGAAGGAGCTTTTATTTCTGTTGTCAGGGCAGTCGAAGACAATATGGTTGATGTCTTGTGAGTCATAACCGCAAGTGCAGGAAGGAGAGGAAACGATATTTTTTCGGAAAAGACTGGCGTTAAGATTATAATGGTTGGACATGATACGATTGGCCAAGACCAGCTCAGCTCTGGTAATGTGGAGATTTTTAAACCACGGGTGGGGAGACTCCCATTCCTTGTCGTATCTGCATTGATATTTATAATAGAGGGAGCCTTTGTTAAGAGAAGTTGCGCGATGATATGCCAGGGTGGTGCTTTTCAGAGTGGCCTTCGCAATAGTAAACAGATCAGAATAGGGGATTTTAAAAGGAGAAGAGCCATGGGTAACGGCCAACCTGGCAAGTCTATCCGTGATCTCGTTGCCCGCGATGCCGACATGCGCGGGAACCCAAGTAATAGAGACGTCCAAGCCCTGATCCAACAGTTTCCACGCCAGGGTTCTGATTTCGGTGATGAGATAATTTTCGTGTGAAGTTTTCCATCCACGTATCGCCTCAATTACACTTCTGGCATCGGAGAAAACGGCAGTCTTGCCGATGCGATATTTGAAGGAGTGTTGTAGAGATTGTAAGATTGCCCAAGTCTCTGCAGAGAAGTTGGTGGTTTCAGACGGTAGGCGGTGAACAATGCTGAGATCTAATTCGGGCGAAAACACGGAAGCTCCCACAGAAGAGGACTTGTCAAGTTTCGAACCATCAGTATAGTAGGATATGGAGTTAGAACGTTGAATATTAGTGGCTGTCAGAAAGGCGTGGTAGCAGCCAGTGCTGAAAAGAAGAAAGCAGAACAATTTACAACAAAGAGAGCAGCCAGTGCCGAAAAGAAGAAAGCAGAACAATTAACAATAAAAAGAACAGCCAGTGCCAAGATAACCAATCAAGCAAAACAAGCAAAAGTGCGTTCATCTTAAGTGCGTTAATATGCAACACAGCTACTTTACACGTCAAAATTGCCAATCTGACGATTAATTTTTGCCATCAACCAAAGGCATCAACATTTTATTTTTTTCATAAATCGAAGCCAATAACATTTTTTTGTCGATTAAACCAATAAAATGCATAAAAATTGCATATTTTGTGTGTTTTCTTAATATTTTCTAGGTGCGCCAACCTGCAAGCCATAATCTTTTTTGACCCATTTTTCCCCACTTACAAAATCGCCAACAATTTGTTCATTTTTTAAGATATCTCAAAACTGTTCCTCTATTAAATGTAGCTAAAGAGTGTAGCTCTCGAATGGTGTTTGGATATTTACGATATATTAAGCCATTGAAATGCTATGAGCAAAAAACGAAACCCGCGCCAACCTGTAAACCTTTCCCCTACATTTAAATTAGTATTACACGGAGCTTGTCTCACTCTGAGCAATTGTCATCGTAGCGGTGTGGAAATACGACTAAAATTATGTAGGTCGTCGCTATGTCAGGGAATAGTTCAGCGCGTTTCAAAATAATACAATAAATATAACAATCCGATTAAAAATAAATAGGTAAACATATAAATAGAATCCTAGGTGACGTCAATGATTTTTTCGTATAACCCTGGCAAATTTTCGGTATCCCTTTGGTAATTGATCGTAGAACTATGTCTTTTTATAAAGAACATTTCAGCAACCTCTCTTTTTCTTAGATTTCCCTCTTTATGTAATATCTGGGGGTCGGACCACTGAAATTCGTGTCCAAGTGTGGTACGGTGTTTGCTAACTACTGAGTGGTCGCTGTCATGTTTCTTTATGTTGAGGTGTTCTTTAATTCGGGTATCAAGGTGTCGCTTAGTTTGTCCTATATAACACGCATTACAATCAACATAATTGATTTTATAGATTAATTCAGTTTGTTTCTTGTTAGGTAATCTGTCTTTTCCTTTTTTTATTATATTATTAAGTTTTTTGGGACAGTAAAGATTGTCTGAATGCCGCATTGTTAAATGTGCGGCTAATACAGGGTGAATCTTGGCAGTTACAACTTTTTACCATAGGACACGGGTTACCGACCGCAACTGTAGTTAACCGAGTAGTTCATAGATGTTAGCTGCATAGATCGATCTGCTGTACAGGCACGTTAAAAACAGGATCAAATAATCTGTTGCATGCTATGCATACATACGTTTCTGATAAATAATATGTATATCCAACTTTCTTAGGCGTTTTAGTTTTTACATGGATATGTATAGTAACGTAATTTCTTAATTATCATTGTGTATCTATCGTGTAAAAACAAATAATTTTCGATATTTGCGTATCTTTTTCAATAATATTTTATTAAAATTCTTTATTTGGTGACATTCTTTTCACGCTTACGTGAAAGCATTTACATTTCAACGCGTAGAAGAGTTGGATCTATACCGTTAGAAATTATACATACAAAAATATTAAGTCTACAATTATTCTTATAAAAGTTGCGTCATTATGCAAAAAATATTTTGATATTTCAATTGGCTACTTCCATCTGTGCCAAATAGTAGTAGTAGTAGTAGTATTTATTTCTTTCGAAATACACTGGCGCTTTTGAAGGGAGCGTTCCCGAACCCTTTACAGCCATATCCTTATCACTCCTACCGCGACCTGGCCATATGCGACCTTCACATACTTTTACCCCCCTCCCTTCGTCCCTCCCCCTAGCCTTATCCCTCTATCCTCTTTCCTCCCTTCCTCTCCATCACTATAACCTGCTTTCTCTGTCTTGTTCCGTTCCTTTCTTCTTTTCTTTCCTTTCCCATCTGCCACCCCCTTTGCTCTTCCTTTCTGCTCCACCTCTCGTTCTCTCTACCTCTTTTCTTCCGCTTCCTTCACCTTTCTCCTTCCTACAATCAAAAAGCAGATTACAATCCCTTTTTAACTACTGGATTCTCCTTCACTCCTCCCCCTTTCCCTCTCCTCCCCTACCCATCTCCACTCCTTTCCATCCACCCACATTCTCCTATTTTCCACCCATACCTCTCTTCCCTTTTCTCTTTCTATCCTCGTCCTCTCTAACATCCTCCACCTAATTCTCCTCTCCTCCATACTTAAGTCCTCATCTATATTCATTCCCCATTTCTTTCTCATCCATTCCCTTCCCTCCAGTGTCTCTCTCTTGTCCCTCTCTTCCTTCATCTCTACTAATGCTACTATTCTCCCTCCCTCTCCCTGCCTTTCTATTATCTTTTCCACCACTGCCTCTCTTCTAAGCCAGTCCTTAATTGCCGTCCTGATTTTCTGTGCCCTCTCCTCCCTATCTTTTCCTTCTACCCCCTTCCATATCATCCTTCTTCTTCTTTTTTCCTCTCTTTCTGTCTTGTTCCTTTCCTCTCTCTCTGCGTCCTCTTCTTCCTCCTTCCACCATTCCGTCTTCTCCGCTTCTGTCCTCTCCCTCTCTTTTCTTCTTCTTCTTTCCTCTCTTTCTCTCTTGTTCCTTTCCTCTCTCTCTGCGTCCTCTTCTTCCTCCTTCCACCATTCTGTCTTCTACGCTTCTGTCCTCTCCCTCTCTTTATCCTTGTCCTTCTTTGTTTCTCTCTCTCCTCCTCTCTCCATTCTCTGCATACTCTCTTCTCCCTTTCCTTTACTTCTTCCGTCTCCTCCTCCCCCCTTCTTCTCTAAACTTTTCTTCGCCCTTTTCTTATTCTCTTCGCTACTCTCCCCTTCTTCTAATTCTTTTTCTCTCTTTCTATTCGCCTCCGTCTCTTGTTTCTTTCCTCTCTCCTCTCCTTCCTCCTTCCTCTTCTGTTCTTCCTTTATTCGTCTCTGCTCCTTTCTTTTCATCTCCATGTCTTTCTTCTTCATCTTCTCCTCTAGTTCTCCGCCAGACTTCTTCTCCGTCTCTCTCTCTCCCTCCTTTAGCTCCTGCCTCTCTCCTTTTCCCTCCTTTTCTTTCTCGCTCTCGTCTTTCCTCTCTCTCTTTCGTGTTTCGCCTCTTCTTTTGCTTTTCCTTTTCTTCCTCTAGCTGTCTCTCTCTCTTCCACCGCTTCTCTCTTCTTTTTCTTTCCTCCTTTCTCTCCATTATCTCCCTTATTCCTCTCAACTCTCTTTCCGTCCTTCTTAGTTGCTCCGTCACGTCTTTTCCTATCTCTCTCAGCCCGTCCATCCAGTCCTTCCTTCCGCTCTCTTTCTCTTCTCCTGCCATCCTCTTCTCTTTCTTTTCTCCGCCTTCTCCTCTGACTTCTCTTCTGTGCCACTCCTCCTTCTCCCCGCCAACACTTTCTTCTCCTACCCTCCTCGTCTCTTCTCTCTCCTGTTCTCTCCCTTTCTCTCCCTCCGCTTCCTTCCTCTTTGGTCCTACGTCCTTTCTCTCTTCTTCCTATGCATATTGTTAATTGTTCAATCATCCATTCTTATTTCTACCACACGTGTAAGCGAGAAGCCTAGCTGCCTTCCCCGCACACACTCCTAACCTCTATCATTCCGCCTCCGCCAGCAACCTTCTATCGCCCCCCTTTTCTTCCTCTCTCTCTCTCTCTTTCCTCTCCTACCTTCTTTCCTCCGCTTTCTCCTCTTCTCTGAGCCTCTTCTCTCACTTTTCCTCTCACGTCTTACTTTTCTTTTCTCTCCTCCGCTTCCTCTATCACTTTCGCCTGTGTACCTTGGCCGCCTTCTACTTTCACTTTCTCTTTCACAGGTGCCTTTCCTCCCCTCCATACCAACCACGCACTTTCCCCTCCTTCTATACCTCCTTCCACCGAATCGATCTCTCGATCTCTCCGGCTAATCTCTCCTTACTCTCTCTACTATCGATCGCTCGACTCCTTGTCCTCGTCGATCTCTCGCACCTCCCGTCCAATCCTCTCTACTCTCTCCTATCGATCTCTCGCTCCGTCCGCTCGATCTCCTCCCCACTCCTTGTCCTTCTTCTTCGCTCCGATCTGCCAACTCATCCTCTTCTTAACTTTACCTCCTTCTAACTTCCTTCTTCTTTTCTCCTTCTCGTCTCCTCCAATTCCTGTACTGCGCCTCCTTATCGTCCATCCATCTCTGTTTTCTTCCTCTCCATCTCACTTCCCAAGGAGCGCCAATGCACGTATAATGCGCTCAAAATGTGCATTAAAATTCGCATTAAATGCGAATT